GAGGCAAAAAGGACCTGCAGTCTCTTCCCCAGGCCTCTCTGCCCATCACAACCCTCTATTCCCCTGCCTCAGCCTTCTGCCTTGGCTTCAGCTCACCCCTGCTGGAACTTTCACTGCAGGTTGAAGGAGAGGAGATGTTCCAGGAATCTGAAGGTGAACCAATGGATACATTTTTTTTTTAAAGAGAAACACTGTTATTTGTTTCTGTTGGGTTCTATAATGCTGAATACTATGCCTCAGGCACACGATGAATTCAAGAGGTTTTAATGGACTGGCTGAATGTCTAGATATTAAAAAGTGTGCTCTGAGGAACAGTAGTTCTACCAGTCCATTAGCAAAACAAAACTAAAATAATAGTGATGTGCGATCAAAGAGAGTTTGGAAAACACTTCATTCTGTACCTCTCCTCTTTAATATATATAATGCATATTAGCATATTAAAGGCTCTCTGAGAAGTCATAAGTTTTAAAAAAGGAATCTCTTGACATTGCTTTCTCAGACCTTATATAAACAAGGACCTTTTTTCCCCCCACAAAATCCCTGAACACATTAGGAAACATAGTCTGTAGCACAGGTCCACAAATATCTGTCATCAAGGGCCTGACAGTAAATACTTCAGGCTTTGTAGTAGGGTTTTTAGATAAAAAAAAAAAAAACACAAGACATTCAGTTAAACTGAATTTCAGATACATAATGAAGAATGTTTAGTAAAAGTATGTCCTCAACATGTTCCTAAAGTTATCAGTTGTATTATGCTGTATTTTTATTCGCTAAATCTGGAACCCCACTTTGAGGGCTGTACAGTCTGTTTGGCAACTACTGGGCCCTGCTGTTGGAGCTCAGAAGCAGCCACAGACAAGGCGTAAAACAAACAGGCATGGCTACATTCCAATACAACTTTATTTATGAACATGGAAACTTGAATTTCATCGTTTAAATGTGTCAGGAAATATTTTTCTTTTGACATGTTTTTTCAACCATTTAAAACTGTAATAACCATTCTTAATTTATAGGCTACACAAAAACAAGTAGTAGAGACTGGCCCTATTGTTTGCCATGGTACAAATGCTTTCCGAATTAAGAGTATTTAAACAAGTGGCTTCTTGTAATACAACTGATTGGGAAGTTCAGGTATACACTATCTGTATCTACTTTAGGATTGATTTATCATCCAACTGCTAGAGAATTGAGTTTTGAGCTGTCAGTGATATTAACCTATTTCACACTCACCTATTTAAGGATAAATTAGAACTGAAATGGCTCCTATAGTAGCAGGCAGGGACACCCCGGCTTGGGAATGTCCTCTGCTGTGACTGATAGTTAGCAGACCACATGTCCCCTCCACCTGTCCAAAAGCACAACATGCCAACCTGCCACACCATTTTAGACTAAATGCCTAGGCCAACATTTTAACTATTTTTCAAAATTTAGATGAACAAAGTAGAAAAAAAAATCCATTTTAACAGGTAAAAAAGTTAAAAATAAAATAACGAAAACACTTACATAAAACAGGAGCAAGTTTTTGCCTTGAAATCATTGATTTATATTTATACCCAGAGGCTTGGGCAGGATGATGATCAAGAGTAAATTCTCCCACTGTGGGTTTGACATCAAACCATTCTATAAAATATAAACACAAAAATTGTGTCTTAAAAATTTACTGTGGCCATTGACAAAGCACCATAATTTAGAAATTAAGCAAATTATTTAGACATTCATTTCATCATATTCCTAAGAGCGGTATGAACACAAAGGTTAACATCCCTCTCCCCACATTGTTCACATCTTTAATGCATGAAATAGTTGCTTTATAAAGAACTCAGTTGAGTATATCCAAGGAAAACTTACTTGGATTTAATTTTCTGCTTAATTTTCTTTGTAACATTTGTAAAAGGAAGAGGAAATCGATTTTAAGTTCATTGCTGAGCAAGTTGGGATTACTTAATAATTCTGATAACCTAATGTTATCTTTAATAAACTTTGAAGCTGTAGACCTGGGAACCAGGGGCAAACGCATCTGGTAACTATAGTCTGTGAAATTCACGAGGTCATCCTGGATACTTTTAATTCTGGAAATAAAAAATAAAATAATGTTGACAAGCTGCGTTTTAGGAGTGAGGTTTATATTATCAAAAGTTTCATGTTGTATTACTAGAAGATTCCAAATAACTTACTCTCGATGTGTTAATAAGGTGTAAACCTCTTGTATCAGTATTTCAGGTACTCCGGTTTTACAGTGAATCGTTCCATGGATTAGTTCTTTAGGTAGTTTAATTTTTTTTTTGGCCAGGAACTTTAATAGTAGGAAAAAAGAAATAGTTTCATCATAAGTTCTATAAAAATCTCCAATTACTATGAATTCATTTTAATCTCTTTTATCTCTCAACTATTTTTCTGATTTTTAACATGTTAACTTTTAAAAGATATTCAGCAAGAAAACCACTATACCCCACTCCAATTTGAAATGAGTATGCTCAGTTTTAATAGCTTACTTGTGACATAACCTTTAATAACCTTTTCAATACAAGGAAACAAGCTGCCAACTCAGTAGCATTGTATCCTAGCACACAGTGACACACAGATATGTATAAAAATCAAAACATCAGGAGCACACCTTTCAAATCCCAAAGTTCTTAACAATTAAAAATGTCAATGACTGCTAATTTACCTTTTCCAACTGTGCCCAGTTATCCAACTTGACTTTTAAAGAAGTTCCATTTTCAAAGGATAACAAATTAAGGTCTCCGGGGTAATATATAGTAAATATTTCTGCTATCAGGAAGCCATTTGAAAAATCCCTGATCCATACAATAAGGAAATGAAATAAAATGTAGTTACTTATACAATTGATATTATTTTATAGTTCACACCAATCTAATACTCAATACTGACAGCAAGTAACCTGTCCAGTGTCCCTGAAAAGGCTTTGACTATTTTAATATTTTAATGATAATTTGATAATAATAATTTAATAATAATAATAATAATAATAATAATAATGTAGTCACCAAAGCATTCCAGATTAGCTTAAGTATTGATTGAATGAGTGAATGAAATGTTTCAGCATATTGTTTTCAGGCTCAATCCCTAAAAGGGCAGATGTGTTTGTGGGTGTGGTGAATGGGAGGGAAAGGCCATCAGAGGCGTGAAGCGCCTGCGGGGCTGCGAAGAGGTTGCTGGAAATAGGCAGGCACGGGTCAGGGTAGCTCAGGCCCCGCGCCCGCCAAAGCGGCCTTGACCAGCTTCTCCGGCACCTGTTGATGTTCCTGGGGAAGAAGCTGAGATCCAGGCCTTGGAGCCAGCGCAGGACAGACCGGGACAGGCGGGAGCTCTTCGGCGGATGCGGATAGACCAGACACTTCTTAGGCCTCCCTCTGACGGGAGCTGATGGCTGTGGCAAAATTGACGAAGACTTGGGTAGGGCTGCCGCCGGCACTGTCAGACAGTTTTCTTCTGGGCCGGCGGCAGCCATGGCGCTTTCTGGGTTTCTATGGCAGCACCAGTGGGGGAAGGGACCGGGGTCCGCGTCGGGGCGGGGCCTCGTGGGGGCGGGGCGTCAGTGCGGGCGCCAGCTTCGCGAGTCCCACAGTTTGGGGAACGAACGCTCCAGGATTGGGGACGCGATTCCTGGCCCCGTTGGGCGTGGTTTGGGGAGCCTAAACACTGGACGGAGCTTTCAACCTCAGCGTCAGTTGGGCTCACTAATTTAGAGTTTCCCCTATCCCCGCACCCCTTTGGAATTGTGATGTATGCCCAAATGAAGGCTTATCTTCAGTAAGGCATTTTTGAGGAGGGTGTGAAGCGGCTCCAGAGGAGAAGGACAATTTTTGCTTGGAAATTGGAAATTGGTTTTTCCTCCTAAATGCCAATGAAAAATATCTTTAAAATTAAAATGAATATTTAATATCTATAAAATTTAACATATTTTAAAACGATTTGTACGTTAGATTTTCACACTTCACAATCATGCCTAGTGTGCATGATGATTCATTCATTCAAAACATCTTTATCAAGTGTGCTATGTATCAGGTACTGATCTAGTCACTCGGGATTTATCGATGAACGACGTAGAGAAAAAAAAGATTTCAGAGCAGGCTTAGACAATTACAAATTAAATATTTACAAAACAAAGTTATTAACATTCTTTTAAAACTAATACAGTAAAAAAATCACTTAAGGTGGCATGTAGATACATATTCAAGATAAAATACGGGATAGATCTTGATAGTGAAGCCATATAATATTGAATGTTTATTCATATACATGTTTATTAAGAAAGTAAACCAATGTGAGTCTTTATATGGTTAAAAAGGAAAACAAAAACGATGCTATACAAGTGCTTTCTCTTTGCCCAAGGAAATTTTTCATGAATGATACATTCATTCAATGGACTTTCTTTGAGGAACTTTTATTCTGTGCCGTGCTATGCACTCGATCTTACTATCCAATATGGTAGCCCGTAACTACATGTGGCTATTTAGATTTAAACTTAAACTAATTTAAATAAAATAAAATAACTCTGGCTGCATTTCAGTTGCTCAACAGCCATGTGTGGCTAGTGGCTGCCATATTATACAGCAAAGAGACAACACTATCATTGCAGGAAGTTCTACTGGAAAGCTATGCACTAGAGTATTTACAGAAGATATAGAGATATAAATATCTGTAAAAAGAACACCTACCCTGAAAAGCTCCTCCATCGTAAAAATATATTAGTATAGGGAGGAAGCGAGTAATTCGGCCTTTGTCTAGGATTCCTCTCAAAGGAGGTGATCTTTGATTTGGATCTTATAAGGCAGTATTTTGAATTGGTGAAGACAGATTTTGGAGGACCAGCTCTACTTTTTATGTTATGTGATTTTGGACAACCTGTTTAATTTTTAATTGTAAAAGGTGGAAATAAATAGGATATACCTCATAGGGTTATGTTGAGGATTAAGTAAACGAGTTAAGGATGCAAAGAGCCTAGAACAATATGTAGCACATAGTAAGTGCTCAGTAAATATAAATTGTTTCTAAAACAATCATGCAACTCTGTGGAGTGAATGGGGGAGGGGACAATTCCACACAGACTGGCTAATGTGAGAAAAAGCATAGATGACATATATGGTCTATGATATGATAGTTTTTAAATGAGTTTTAGGACATAGCAAATAACTCATTCAGGCTCTAGCATAAGGGCTAAAGAGGTATATTAGGGCTATAAATCAAGGCTTAATTGAGAACAGTCTTGCTAAGAAGTCAGGATTTTTCCTGCAAGGAATGTGTCCATTGGTAAGCAAATAGTTCTCTGTTTCAAACACGCCCTTCTATATTCCTGGGGAGTTGGAACTCTGCAACATAGTTTCTCCTTTGCTAAGTGTTTTATTAAATTTTGCCAATAGGGGGAACTAGAGAGAGACCAGGAGGAGAGGAGAGGGGATTAGCTGTTTCCCCTTGGCTTGCTGCTCCTCTGGATGTCACCACAGCAACAAAGCTTCACCTGGCAGTGGCAGCTGCTTCCTGCCTCCAACTTTTTTTTAGCACTTCTGGAACAGGTTTCATCATACTCCCTCAGAGGTTTAGCAACCACCAAGAAGTGGCTCTCAGAATCCAAGTCCTAGATTTTACTCTAGGATGGCTGCTTTGAGCTCCAGAAGAATCAGCACCAGCTGTGTCCTCAATCCTTTCAAGTCAGCCTATAGGGCTTTTCTTCCAACTTCTAGGTTCTAAGAACCCCAGCTTCTTCCCTTTGTTCTCTAGCAATAGAAGTGGCAATTGCTTCCTGAATCATCTATGTTAATTTGATGCTCTTTTTAGTTTTTCAGTTCTTCAGAATCTGTTTAACAATTTTTATATATGAAATTCTTGTTGTTGAATTGGATGCTGAGTGATTCGTTGCTTAGTATTTGAAGTGAGGTTACCATCTCCCATGAGCTCATCTACATCTTACTCAGGCATCTGAGGAACTTGCTACTTCCCATGCATCAGATTCAGTCAGCATGATGTCATGGAAAGAGTAGATCAGCATGATGTTCTGTGGAGGTTATGATAGTCAAAAAGGCACTCATTGGCCTTGTGTCATGGAACAAGGAAATTGATTTGACCTAAGGCAAGATCATGAATGTGCTATATTGGGCCTACTAGATTGGAGCAAACTGCTTTGGTGGGTCTTGCAGATTGTTATGGAGAAGAGTGATTTCCAGATCGATAGCAGAGTAACAGTTGCTAGGGACTGTGGCAGTTTATTCCAGTGAACAAATGGAAAAGCAACTATAAGTGGAGTTACCTCCTGATTAATTTACAGTAGTTGTATATAGAGCCAGAGGGGTGATAGAGTAATTGGGAGGATCATAAATTGTACACTATATAAATGTCTAACCGTTGTACCGTATACCTGAAACTAATATAAAATAATAAAGAAAAAATAATAAAGCAATAATAAAGCATAAAAATAATAAAGCTATATTTTATATCCTAAATAAAATACTAATAAATAAAAATAAATTAATTAAAAATAAATTTACAATAATCCATAGTCACCCTCTAAGATTCATCTACTTCTGCATCAGCCAAATAGCCATCAAAGTCAATACTTGTTATTGACCTATAACCTGTCAAAAGAAAATACAGAGCCTTACTTGATATATTTTGATGAGTAAGAAACTGTTCTCAAACAGGGAGGCCTCTAACTGAAAGTGGTGAAAAGTTGGCTATAGTGTGGCTATAGTGTAGTTTATAAACCATTGTGAATGGTTACTGGGGACTTACATTTTTTCATCGCATAACCTCCCTTGATTATAGCCAGTTAGCTAGGAAGCTGTGAGATCCTGCTGACGTGAGGAAAGCTTAGATTTTTGTGTAAAGTCAGAGTTGGCATTTTGGGAAAGTCAGAACAGTTTAAGTTTTAGTTGTGTGACTATGGGTATTTGGGCTAGTGGTATATTCAAACTGTGGTTTCAGTTTTGATTTCTTTAGAGCACACCTCAGCACCACCTTTTTAACTTTGCAGCTTGCTGGATGCAGACAGCAGGCATATAGTGTGTTCTGCTCAATAAGAGGTAGCTAGCTGTGCTGTGCTAGAGGCAACCTACTCCAGTCCACTTCTGCCCTTGGGGAGGAGGAAGCCTTTCTAATTCTGGAGTTTGAATAGAAGTTACACCTGGCCCTCCTCCTGAGCCATGTCCTCCAGCTTAGATTATATCCATACTGAGGTGATAGTATGGATTCTATCTACATGCCTTTATTGTTTAATTTGGTTAGAATGTGGGCAAAAAGGAGAAGTACTATTAATTGGGTCCCTCCAAGATCCCACTATTTCAAAAGATGAAAAAGAATATATAAAACAAGGAAAGGATTAAGAAAATGCAGAATAGTTCCAGTCAAGATGGAGGAGTAAATAAACTGTACTGGCCTCCTCTCATGATCACATCAAAATTACAACTAAACTACAGAACAACCATCATTGAGAATCTCCTGAAGTCTAGCTGAACAGAAGTTCCATAACTAAGGATATACAGAAGAAGCCACATTGGGATCGATAGGAGGGTCGGAGTTTGTGGAACGACCTGGTCCCACACCTGTGTATGGTGGTTAAAAATAGGAAGGGATAGATTAGCTTTGGAGGGCCCTCCTGTGAAGCCAGGGGTCTCAGCCTCACACCAGGTTCCTCAGCTCAGTATTCCAGTGCCAGGAAGAGAAGTCCCCATAATTTTTGGTTGTGAAAACCAGAAGAGATAGTGGCTGAGTGAGACAGAAGGCTGCGGGAATCATAGGTATTCCTCATAAAGAGCAGGAGTAGACTTACTCACTGATAGATTCACTCCCTCTGAATTCCAGTGCTGGAGCATCAGCTCAAAAGGTGCTGGGGACAAACGGAGAGGAACTGAGTTATGTGGTTTCAGGGTGAGGGCTGGAGGGGCAGCTTTCTCCCAGTCAGAAGTGCTGGCAGAATCTGTTGTTAAGCTCTCCCCGCTTGCAGCATGCAGACACAGGTGTCACCATATCTGTCACCATCACCCTGGCTAACACTGGTCACCTCACCCTGGTGATTCCATGGAACCTCCACCTACCCACCCAACTGTGGGCCCACTGAAGCCTCTTCCAGTAGCTTTTCCATACAAATGACCTGTCTTGGTTCATGCTGTGGAGTTTCCTAAAATCTTTCAAAGGTTCACAAAACCTAAATAAGCAGCATCTGGCCTAAGCATGCCTTATACCTCTTTCGGAGCAGCTTCAAGCCTAGCACTAACAGCAGGTAGCCTGAGTTTGCAAGTTGGCCTCTAGAGGCACAACCAAGCCCAGCGTGGGTGTTGGCTATCTCAGATTCCTTGCTGGCTCATGCCAGGTGGCCCAGGGCAGGGCACAGGCTGCTGCTAAACTTCATCTATGGCAGACTCCTCCTGGGAGGCCCCAGCCTGCACTCATGGGGCCAAATTCAAGGACGACACACCCAAAGGGCAAATTCAGCAGATGCCAGAGCATTGCTAAAAT